CAGTGTTTTTTTCAGATTGGGTTTTCTCCCTATGTTTCTGTAGTTGATTCTTTACTTCAGATGCTATGAGTTCTGAGAATTCTTTTTTTTATTTCAGAAAATAATTGCACTCTGAGTTCCTCTATAACTTTCTGCTATTGCTTATTTACTATCGACACTATTAATTCATACATTTGAGCTGAGCTAGTGTCCTCTGCACTTGTTCTGGGGATGCATTGGGTTTCCTCCATATGTTTCTGCATTTGATTCTTTACTGCAGATGCTATTAATTCAGGGATTTCTTTTTTTCATTTTTAGTCTGAGTTCCTCTATACCTTTCTGCAGTTGTTTCTTTTTTTCAGAAGCTGTTGGTTCATTGATTTCAGCTGTGCGATTCCCTATTTGTTCTGTGCTAGTGTCCTCTGCACTTGTTATGGGTGGGCTTGGGGTCTGAGATTGCATTTTGTTCCTTCTCGTTGTCATTTTGTGTAGCACTGTTTTCTGACCTTTATTGTAGAGCTTTGGTGCAGTTATAACCTTAGCACCTACTGAAATTCAGTTGCAGGCTGCTGTGCTCAGCTCCTTCCTGCTGCCGCCCTTGGGAATGAACCTGTTTTGCCCCTCTGGCAAGATGTTCTGCTCCTGAACTAGCTGGGTGATTCTGTTCCCTACTCTCTCTGCAGGGAGTGCAGCTGCAGGGTTTCATCCCATGCCTGTATGCCAGGCCTGAGCTGAGTCTGAAGGGGACAAGGTGGAGTAGGGGGGAGAGGAAGCTCTCCCACACACTCACCGGGCCTGGGCTAGGACTGGATCTGGGAGTCTCCAGAACGCAGTAGAAATTCTCACTCAGCAGGCGGGGTGGGGGTGGGGTGCTGCGAAGTGGTGGTGGAGTTCCCAAGGGGGTGGAAGAGGGTCTCACCCACGCTGCACCTGGGCTTGGACCGGCAGGTCCTGCAGGCACAGGGTGGCCAGAAGCTCTCTCTGACAGGACATTTAAATTAATCTTTCATTCACTCCTGGTGATTCCCCAGGGCTGGTTCACCTTCTGGAATGAAGCTCCGTACAATATTTACCTTCCTAAATCCTCCTTCCTTCTCCACATATTCTCCCTTTCTCTGTCTTACTCCTTACTAGGTTCTTCACCTTCACTTTGATTCCCAAAACCTTTCTGTCTTCACTTAGACTGACTTTGCCTTGGCTGTGCCCCTGTGCTCACCTGGACAGCCCTATCTTACAGCTTCGGAGACAGCCCACACTTATTCTGCCAACCTCCTAGCTATGATCTCAACCAAACCCCACCTCTAAACCATAAAATATACTTTAATATGCAGCCCCTCTCCATAGATAAAAAAAAACTGCTGACTTTGGCCTGACTTTTGCCACCTCTAGGTTCCCAACTTCAGCCCCATAGCCATACCTCTTTATATTGCTACCCCCTGAACTCCATATCCTGATGCCCTCTCCAGCTTAGAATATTACTCACAGCTGCCTTTAAGCCCTCCACCACCATGATCTCAACCACTTCCATAATACAATATGCATAAAAACTCCACTCGACAGGCAGCTAGTACTATACTTGGTTCGTAGATAAAAGCTTGTTCAAACCCCAATGGGCCCCATGCTACATCTGCTATCATACCCAATCACTCCCCTGAAAAAACCACCTCACTTTAGACACAAAATTCACAGCTTCAACCCAAATGCTCATCTGGCTTTCTCCCAGCTTCTCTCTACACAAAATTCCTTATTGCCAATAGAGACTGCATAGAAACTCATAGAGACATCCAACTTGTCACTAAAGGTCCTCTACTGCCTACATGGAGCCTTATAGTCCAAAACAGCCAAACACACTGCTCTCATCCAAAGATTTCAATCACCTCATTTTACTTCTTCCCTTGTTACCACACTTTGAAAACTTTCTGTTAAATTCTACCATCCCTGGCCAAACTTTTACCCCTCACTCATTTCCATATCCTTTAGAGTTAATATGTGGTTTCCCCTTTCTTGGAGGCCCTATTGCCCCTACTCATTTCCCATAAGATTATGCCTAGTCACTTCAAGCCATTGCTGTCTGCTTCACAGCCTTTATGCTCATTATTCCCTTTTCCCCTCATGCTTAAGCCACAGGTCCAGCTTAAAATCCTTCAAAATACTAGTTCAACCAACATGGAAAGAACCCACACTGTTCTCCTTTTCACTCCTGTTCCTTTAGCCACTGAGACTTCCTTTGACACAATGTTTATTAATGCTTCTAATAGCCTTATTTTTACTGTGCATATTTAATCTCTTATTCAGCTTTGATTCTTCTCATTTAGCGTTTTTAAAAAAAATTTACATATTTGGTACGGGGTCTCATACACAGCTCAGACTCATAGTGCTCCTCCTGTTTTCAGTTTCCCCAGCACTGGGATTACAGTTGTGCACCACCACATCCAGTCTCAGGGACCAGCTCAGTGTACCCAGGGGTGGGGCCCATGCAGCATGCATACTGGGGATAGAACCCTTGTCCCTGTGCGTGCTCAAGTAAGTACTCAGTCTGATGAGCTATCTTGCTGACTCCTCATTTAGCATCTGTTAAACTACTGTTAGTAGTAGTTGATCCAAGACAAGGACCAAACCTCACTTTCATATCTACAGTTCATCAAAAAATCCTCAGAGCAATATGACTCCCTTAGCCTCTAGATCAGGCAGGGCAAGAGTTCCATGGTCTCTATGCAGGTAAAGCCAGGGACCCTATTCAGCAGGAAGCAGCTACAGAAAATGGACAATCCATCCTCAGAATCCCTTAAAGATTTTCAGAAACTGGGTCTCTTGGAGGAGTAATATATATAGTATAATTGGGACTATGAGACCACTCACCTCCAGCCAATGAACCTGGGCAACACCCCAGGTTGCCCAATCCCTTGACTTCTGTCCTATGGTCTACAGGCAGAGAAAAGAAAGACAATGACCTCTGGCCTGTCCTGGAATATTCTGAAACCCCACACCAAGACATATATGTACCAGATTCTCCAGCATGACTTATAGCAGTGATGACAAATTTTTTAGAGACTGATTACCCAAACGGCAATCCCAAATTTACTTATGTATCACAAAGGAACAGTGCTGCAATTAAAGCTGAACAGTGAGGTTTTAGTTTAGAAAAAAACTGTAATCTGAGTACAGTGTGCTGGCAACTTGGGTCACATGCCAACAGAGGCATGTGTGCCTGTGGTGGCATGCATGTCATAGACTCACCACCACTGATCTATAGTAACCTTTCTTCACTTGAAGCTCTTCAAAGGTTCAGCATATCAATAGCATCTCATGAATCTAATTATAACAAAGTGAATTATGGAGAATTTGTTCAGTACATACACTTAGCATGACTTAGCACTTTGTCAATCACATTGTCAGTCACACTCTGGAAAAGCCAATGGGGGGTGCCCTAGACCCAGTGCAACATTTTAAATTCTTAAACCCAACATCTTCAGCACTCCTGCCATTTTCATTTCCACTGGTAGGAGCTTGCTAACTCTAGATGTCTCCCAAATTAAACTTTGCGGCTTTTCCTTACTGTCAAGTATCCTTTTCTGTTCTTTGTTCATTGTACACAAGAACCTAGGAACTCACCCAGGACCCCAGTACTCATGGTAGCATCAGCACTCTAAGAGGTTGAAGCAGGAAGATCACAGATTAAAGCCAGCCTGGGCTACCCAGCAATAGCAAGATGCAGTCTCAAAATTTAAAACAAAGGGGCAGGGGCATGAGTTTAGTGCAAAAGTCTTCAATTTACTTCTCAGCATGATGCTTATGAGGAAGTGGATGAGGAGGAGGAGGAGGAAGAGGAGGAGGAGGAGGAAGAGGAGAAGGTAGAGGAGGAGAAGGAGGAAGAAGAGGAGGAGGAAGGAAAGGAAGAGGAGGAAGAGGAGAAGGAAGAGGAGGAGGAGGAAGAGGAAGAGGAGGAGAAAGAAGAGGAAGAGGAGGAGGAGGACGAGGAAGAAGAGGAGGAAGAGGACGAGGAGGAGGAGGAGGAAAAGGAAGGGAAGGAGGAGGAAAAGGAGGAAGAGGAGGAGGAAGAAGAAGAGGAAGAGGAGAAGGAAGAAGAGGAAGAAGAGGAGGAGGAGGAGGAGGAGGAAGAGGACGAGGACCAGGAGGAGGAGGAGGAGAAGGAGGAGGAGGACAAGGAGAAGGAAACCACTATTAGGCAACAGGCAAGCTGATCTCACCCGGGTGCAAGCTGATCTCTGAAACCCTGTAAACTCTGCTGACTTCTACACAACAAGCTGCTCCCAAGGTACCAGAAATTGAGACCATACTCATCCCCTTTCTTACAGAGAGCTGAAATTTTGCCAACAGTAATCATAATTCTGGCAAGTAAGTGATCTTACTTTCCGGCCCTCTTGCAGTTTACAGCTATAGAAGCAGCTGCCATTTTATAAAACCTCGAAGCACATTTTCAAGATAGCTTGCATTGGTGTTTTCTCAGACAGCAATCCTAACTGGCCCCACATAAATATAATTTTCTGTGTTCTCAACTAGGGATTTTATTCTCAGTGAACATATCAAAATAAGTATAAGTATATAGGAGAGTTACAAATAGATAGTTTTCTACCTACATTTGGATGGTCATGTCACTCAGGCTACTTTCAGTTCGTGGCTGAACACAGAGTTCTTCCTCGTGGGGTCTCCCACCCTGGTCACGGTGACCAGCTCTTCAGTCCTACCAACATATTTCCCAGAAAATTTCCATATTACTCTCCACAGAGCCAACTCTCCCACTGAAAAGAGGTAAATTTCCACAGAAAATGTTGCTTAACCCTTCATACTTGCCAAATTATTATTTAAAACTACAAATTACATCTTTTATTCAGCTAAGACATGCATTTTCTAAATAAAGAAAAGTTATTAAACATCCTTGTAATGATTATATTTAAAAATGAGTGCCTACTCACCAGGGTTGTACGCAGAGATGGCCTGAATATATTCTGAAAAAAAAAGTATTTTCATTACATGCTACTATGCTCAGATGTGAATGTTAGCTTCAGTCTTTTTTCTTTTTCTTTTTTTTTTTTTTTAAAGACATGGTCTCATTATCTAGTCTAAGCTGGGCCTGAACTCACTATATAGTCTAGGATAACCACTAATTCACAGAGGTTCTCCTGCCTCAACCTCCTAGATGCTGGGACTGTAGGCATGCACAGCTCTTCAGTCTATTTTTAAATGCTTACTGATAAAGATTTCAGTTGTCTTACACTTAAACTTTTTTTGTCTTTTTAAGACAGGGTCTCGCCATGCAGTTGAGGTTGGTCTTGAGCACACTTTGTAGCCCAGGCTGGTCTCAAACTCTCAACAATCCTCTGCCTTAGCCTCCCAAGTACTGGGATTACAGGGGTGCACTATCACACCCAGCTTAATAAACATATTAAATATGATTATTTCAAGAAATATAAAATTTCAGTACAAAGACAAGTGATGTGGATGCATTATATGTTCTAGGCACTGCCCTGAGATTTGAACTCAGGGGCTTCACACTAAAGTACATCACATTCCTAGGTCACCTCACCAGCACCTTTTTTGTTTTTTAAGACAGGATCTCAGCAAGTTGGTAATTTGCCCAAACTGGCCTCTAACTTGTGATTCTCCTGCTTCAACCTCTCAGAGTGTTGCGATTATGAGTTTGTGCCACTATGCCTGGATGGATGGATGTTAAATGTATGAAATATTCACAGCAAAGCTAACCTTAGAAAGATAGTATAAATAGACAGTGATTTTAAACTTTGTAATTAAGAAATCTTCAAGAGGCTCCACTGAGCATATGTATCAATCAAGCCAGGCATTGTGGTGCATGCTTATAATCCTTGCACTTGGGGAAGTTGAAGTAGGAGGATCACCTCAAGTTTGAGGCCAACCTGAACTATATAGTGAACTCAAGGTCAGCTTAACTATAGAGTGAGACCTTATCTCCCTGCAAAAAAGAAAAACAATATGCATCAATCAAAGATATTTTCTGGCAACTCTGATGCAAATCTATTAGACCCATTTAATAATGCTATTCCTAAGTAATCTTAAAATTTCCTGTCTTCCTTACCAAAAGTTTCCCATAGTCTTTCTTTTTTTTTTTTTTAATTTTATTTATTTATTTATGTGTGTGTGTATGTGTGTGCGCGCGTCTAGCTCAGCCCACCAGGGGGCGGGGGTGGCTGGCATGTGGCGCCGGGGGATGGAACCGCGGTCCCTGTGCTTTGCTAAGCTTGTTCTAAGTAGGTGCTTCAGACCACCGAGCCATCTCACCAGCCCAAAAATAAGGAGTTATTTTAGGGCGGATTTTTTTTTTTGGTTGTACCAGGGATCAAACTCAGGACCTTGTGCTTGCCAGACAAGCACTTATTCCACTGAACTATCTCCCCGGCCCCCTCCCATAGTCTTTCTTCCAAGAAGGATTAGTTTTTGTTATAACCTATTTTTCCTTCAGGAAGCTGAAACAGATCATGCTATTGTTCTGTCAACCCATCCTTCACATATGAGACACAATTATTCCACAATCCTTCAGTCTCCTGAATGCTATTTCCTAAGGTATCAAAAACAGACTGGGCATGGTGTGGCACATGTCTGTAATCTCAGCACTTGGGAGGCTGAGGCAGGAGGATCACTGGGATCCACACAGTGATCTCAAGGCCAGCAACCCACAGTGAGAGGGTCTAAAAAAAAAAATACACCAAAAATAAAAATGATAGCATTACTCTCTGCATGGGAGACATGTAGGAAGGGGCTGAAGACATATGGGGCATTCAGGTAAGCTTCTGTATGGTCAGGCTAGGGAGAAAGTGGCATATTCCTGCAGACCTGAAGCACTACAATGTTTGAGAGTACACCCATAAGGAAGTACAATATTTCAGAGATCAGCCATAAGGAAAGAGTATGACAGAGGGACCCTGCAAGCCGCTAAGGACAGAATGTAACAGCGATAATGCCTACACTAACGTGTCCTCTTGCTCTTTATTTTGCAAACTTTCACTTGTAAAATTATTCTTTGTTCTTCCCTTTTGCCAGTATTATAAATTCTAAAGAAAACCACAAAGACGTTAATTGCTAGAGTCAGCTAATATAGGAAAAGAACTAGAAAAGTCCTGGTCCCAGAACCTCCTAAGTAGTCATCTTTTTTTAGCTTTTCAGAATCCAGAAGAGCTAATCTTCACAGAACATCAAATTATGGGTCATAGTATGGCTTGTAAACTTAGCACTCTGGTAGGCTGAGGCAAGAAGATGACTTCTTGAAGTTTTGCCTGGGTGATTTAGTCAGACCTCGTCTCAAAAAAAAAAAAAAAAAAAAAGGATGGTGATGTATCTAAGTATGAAGACCCTTGATCCAACACCTACTACTGCTGTTGCTGCTGCTACTACTACTACTATTACTACTACTGCTACTACTGCTACTACTACCACTCCTCCTCCTCCTCCTACTACTACTACAACAAAAGTAGAATGATATTTAACTTGCAGGTCAATAATGTGTTTGTCTAAGGAGTTACAAGGACTGGCCTGGGAAATAAAGGCCTGTTGTTATTACAAGAATATTCTTTCAAAAAAAGAAAATATTCCTGTGAGTAATAGAAATAATTATTGAGCCATGTCTCAGAGAATATCCCTTTTTAAAAAAAATTTTTATGTATTTGTTATAGGGTCTCACCACACAGCTCAGACTCCTAGTGATCCTCCTGTTTCAGCCTCCCCAGCATTGGGATTACAGGAGTGCACCACCATTCTTGGTCTTGGTGGCCAGCTCAGGGTGCCCAGGGCAGGGCCGGCACGACATGCGGTACCAGAGATCAAACCCAGGTCCTTGTACTTGCACTTGCCTAGGCAGGCACTTAGACTGTTGAGCTATCTCTGCAGCTCAGAATATCCTTCTGGTCTAGTACCACACCACTTTCCTTCCCTCTCCTCTAAAGATGGAGGGTCTGAAACAGTAGCCTTCCCCCCAGCATCTCAGAGTGATGAGCCAAGGATAAACCTGATTTCCTTCTTCCCATCTTGTATCTCCTGAGTACTGACTTTCCTGCTGAGGGAAAATGGACTTGGGTTCAATAAAAATAGCACAATCTAACCTTCAGGAAACAATGGCTGCCAGTATAACCCATAATTGTGAGAAACAACACTGATAAAATTCCCACTGCAGAGACAGTACTTTAAAGCATATCTTACCTAGGTTCTCAGCACAATTTTCACTCTTTAGTCCTGAAATAAAAAGATAAAATTTGTAAATTAGATGTGATCTACTGTAATAAAGATTTCAATTAATCTGTGCCTATTGGTAACTACTTTGTCAACTCCTAATCTATCAGGCCTATAATTCAGTCAGATGTAAACTGTAGAACATTAGCATTACAAACGTATTTTTGTATTCATAGAATAGCCACCAAACAAGTCTATGACCTTTGAAAAAATATTTAATTTTTATGTACTAGAGAGAATACTGATACGAAGAACTCCATAGATTTGCAAAGGGTTTCAGCAGTAAATATTCAGGGCAGTACTGGTCTGCAATTATGTGTGGGAAAACTACCTACTGGAGAAAGAACACAGTGCATCAAGAACACAATAGCATCTGGGGACACTGGAAACAGCTAGTGGCAAAATGCTGGCCTAGCATGTGTAGCCCTGAGGAGTTTGATCACCAGCATCACGGGTGGGCAAGTGGATGGAGACAACAGACTACTCCCACAGCCATACTAGAAAACTTATAATTCATAGGCACTGGGAAGAATATTAGAAGGATATGATTTTAGCAGTGAAGAATTACTCCTAGATTAAACTGACTTTCATTATTCCTAAAAATCTGAAAAGCATGTTCTAAAAGAAATAAAAAAGCTTAAAGGTATTTTTAGAAATAAAAAAGCCAAAAAGCAAAATAAAAAATATGTTTACAAATATACAATTGTATAGTACACAAAGTACAATGTAGAACATCCTGTACTCAAAATTTACTTCTCATACAAAAAAGGTATTCAGTTGACTGAAATTAACCCAGAACTGACAAAATGTCAGAATTATCAGGAAAGTACATTTAGGGCCTGCCAAATAGCTCAGTGGATTAAAGCACCCGCAAGCAGGTGCAGGGGTGGGGGTTCGATCCTTGCCCCTGGGATGTGCTGAGCCAGCAATTGAGACTGGGTGTGTGGTGTGCACCTGTAATCCCAGCTCTTGGGAGGCTGTAAACAGGCAGATCACTACCAGTCCAATCTAATAGGCAGATCCTGAACACCCTGTAGACCCTTCCCTAAAATACCAAAAAAAAAAAAAAAAAAAAAGGGCAAGAAAAGTACATTTAAAGTCATTACAAATGCCCTTATGACCTCATCTAAAGCAAATTACCTCTCAAATCCAAATACTGCAGTAGGGATTAAAGATTCATTTTATGAATTTTGAGGGAGATAATGTTCAGCTTTTTAACTATTAGTGCTACCAACAAATGGTTAAAAAAAAGAAAGATAAAATTATACACAAATTTAACAAGATATAAAAATATTGAGATGAAAATACAGTAGCGGGATTTCCTGACAAACAAGACCCTGCAGAAGAGTGATCTGTGGACTTGGAGACATAGTATGGTACACAGGACACCTGCTTCCCAAAGAGGTTCACAGTCTGATTTTTAGAACCTGTGAATATAGTATTTTACGTGGCAAAAGAGAATTAAGGGTGCAAAACAAATAATCTTGCTATCCGTTGACCTTCAGATAGGGTAATTATCCTGGATTAGCCAGGTGAGTTTAGTCTAATTACATAATGCTTGAAAGCAAAAGACAGAAGAGAGGGTCAGAGAGGTGAGTGTGAAGAGAACGCGACATGCCTGCTTCTTACTTTGTGGATGAGCACAGAAGGCTATAGGAATGCAGGTAGTCTTTAGAAACTGGGGAAGGCTGAAAAACTAAACTTTTTAAATGAAGCCTCCATCAAGGAATGCAGCCTACTAGCAGTTTATTTTAGCACAGTGAGACCCATGTAAACCATTCAAATGTAGAATTGTAGAATAGTAAGTCTTCATCATCTTAAGCCATTGCATTTGTGATTTATTCCAGAAGCAACAGAACACAAAGAGAGAAAATATCTAAAATGAAATAAAAAACCTAAAAACAAAAACCAGAATAACTGAGTTGTGGAACACTCTCAAAGCCACTTTGTGCATACACGTAAGTTGAATCCCTAAAGGAAGTGGGAGAACACAGTGAGGTTGTAGCTCAGTAGAGGAGTGAGTTGCAAGAGTGGCAGTGATCTGCATGCTCACCAGCAGGTATATAGACAAATTCTGGCATATCCCCTATTCTGCAATAAAAAGGGATCAATTTAGCTTTTATTTTTTAAACTTTTTTTTTTTTTTTTTTTTTTCCAGAACTGGGGATTGAACTCAGGCTCTTGCGCTTGCCAGGGAAGTGCTTATTCCACTGAGCCATCTCCCCAGTCCCTGGATCAATTTATTGATATATGCCTTTGGCCCTTACAAGTCAAAGAATGAAGGAGAGGTGAAAAAAATGTTGAAGAAACAATGGACAAACTTTCTGAATTTAATGAAAATCACAAACCCCCAAATCCATAAAGTTCAATGAACTTCAAGCACAAATACTAGGAAATCCTTGCTGAGACACAGGATCAAATTTCTTCAAACAGTAAACTCTGTATTTGTGGTAAAGAGAAGTCTTAATAACAGAAGTCTGGGAAGGAGGAACACACTGATTAGATAAAGAGGAACAAAAGTTAGCATATAACAGCAGATGTTTTCATCAGAAACAATGAAAGTAAAAAAAAAAATAAACTGATGCAACAGATTTATAAAGTATAGTACTGTCGCAAGACACTGTCTCAAAAAAAAAAAAAAAAAAAAGAAAAGTGGATGAAGCTCACTGCCAAAGCTCTGGGTTTAATCTCCAGGAATAAATAAATACACACACACACACACACACACACACACACACCCCTAAGAAAAAAGGACTGGGGCTGAGCATGTATTTAGCATTCATGAAGCCATGGGCTCAATCTCTAGCCCCTACTACCCACTTTTACCTGCCCAAAACAAGAAAAGGAAAAAACTATCCATCTATAATTTGTTATTTTTTGAGACGGAGTCTCACTATATAGTCCAGACTGCTCTTGAACTCACTATGTGGCCCAAGCTGGTCTCAAACTTGAACTCATGGTGATCGTCCTGTCTCAGGTTCCTGAGGGCTGGGATTACAGGTATGTGCTATCATGCCCAGTATTCAATCTACAATTCTATACCCAGTAAATGGTTTTTTAAAAAGTAAAATTCAATAAAGACTTTATTACATATAATTAAATCTAACCAAAGATGTAAACAAACTATATATACTAAAAAATATAAGATACAGCTGACATAAATTAAGATGATATAAATGAGATTAATACTGTGGAATTTTTTTTTTTTTTTTTTGACAGGTTCTTGCTATATAGCCCAGGCTGGCCTCAAAGTTGGAGCAATCCTCCTGCCTGAGTCTCTGAATACTTGGAATATAGACATGTGCCACCATGCCTGGTTTAATACTGTGTTCTTTAGTCGGAAAAGTAGCTATTGCTAAAGTGTGCTTCCTGTATGCTGATATATAGAATCAAGATCAGCTTAACCAAACTCTAAACAAGAATTGTAGACATTGACATGGTGACTGTGAAATTCCAATGGAAACATAATTTCTAATCATCACAATTTGTGGGCCAGACGAGGTTGCTTTGTCCCTGGAGGCCAGGTGCTGGCTCTATTTCAATCCAGGCCATTTCACTGGTTCCTCATGAGCTGCAGGGTGGTCTGCCTGGGTGAGGAACTACCAGAGTCCAGCCGGCTCTGCAGAGGAAGACAGGCATGGTGTTGTGGTGTAAATAACAACCATGTAGGTGGGCAGTGTTTGTTCCCTTATGACTTAGAGATAAGAAAAATGCTGACACCTTAAACAACATGGAACAGGTATTTTCCATCAATCGTGGGTAGGCTGAACTTTAAATCCATACAGAATGTGAAAAATGGTTAAAAAAGAAAAGAAAAGAAAAGAAATAAACAATTAAAATTTTTTACACAGAAATTTAGGAATCTAATCATATACAACATTGTAGCAGGATAGTCCTATGGCTTTTTTTTCTTTTTGCTTTATCTTGATCTTAATCATCCAGTAGAAAAGTATAAAAATAAGGTATAAAAAAGTAAAGCCATATTAATATGTTGAGCTGTAAAAGGCTCAAGTTAAGAACTTCTGACATTGCCAGTCCTGCAGATAACCCACTACTATTATGGACTACTGGACTACATTGGTTACCTTGCTGAATGCATGCACCTACAATATATGAATGGCAACAGAATACCCATCTCTGACAAAAGTAAACAAAAAAGGGGGACATAAATGAAGGACCATTTTGTAGTGAATATATATATATATTTTTTATATATATATACAAAATAGCATAGATAT